TAATATGTCGTGGGAACGAGATAATTATATCGTGGGAACGAGATATTATGTCGTGGGAACGAGATAAAAAAAGACACCCACATGTCACCTCTGTGCCACCGTAGATTACCGAAAAAACACGTGGTGAATTTACAAATTATAGAAACGTCAACACGTATCGCAGTGATTTTTTTACAAACTCATCAGTGTGGGTCCTAGGACTCGCTGAGCTATAAATCTATGAGTCCCAAAATTTAGCCGACTAATCTAAGTTACAAGGCTTAATATTGCTTTAGTGATATGAAAGGTATATTAACAATGGAATGAAGAAAAATTGAATTTGATTTCTACATTAATTACAATGCTTCTGATACTGAAATAATTCAAAACTGTCAAATAAATTTAATACGTTTATTTCCATTAATTTAGTTTGAGATTAATCAAAACTTCATTTTCCTTAATATTTTATGCTTAATAATCTATAGTAAAGCACTCATTATTATTTCTTATCTGTAGAAGATTTGCAGACCTAGAATATGATTGACATAACTTGAACACAATTTGGTATTTATTACCAAATTCCTGTCAGACAGGACTCCCTACTCAGAAAAAGTATGCATCCAAAAGATGCACATTATTTGAAACTTTGCATCCACAGCAAATTCAATGAGTCCTGGACTCGGGATGCAGAGGTAAAAAAATCACTGGTATTGGAGCACTTTTAGAATCTGTCAGCACAGCAAAATCAATGTTTTAAAATCCTGATCCAAAACCTTTTGACCAAAATGTGTTCGGTGTGTTTATTGGTCACTACCCCACCTCTCTCTTTATTTTACATACAATATTATTATTTATTTATTCATTCATTTATTTCATTTTCATACAATGATACCTTTTTAATCCAATTATCTAATCAATTATGAGATCACCTTTGAATAAACAACCAATCAACGTGTTGAATAAACAAGTTGACATGCAATAAACACTTAATGGATGAAAGTGCTTTGTATAACAGTGGGCAATACGATGATCATGAATTAAGGACTGAGGAATTCTTGGAGAAAGTGGGTGAATTTATGGACGTTTATAAGAATGTGGTTCTTTGAACCAGTAAAATGTTATGTTTTATTACATGTTGTATGAAAATGATTTAAAGAAATTATTACATGTGTTATTTGTTTCTGAATTATTTACTAAACAAATATTTACTCTTCCAAATGTCTGTAAATTGCCCTTTAATTAAAAAATTATTAATCAAATAATACTAAAAATAATTGAAATAAGCATATGATATAAAAGCATTATGTTGTTGGCTTATTTACTTTATAGAAAAAATCTACAACCCTCCTACCTCTCCAAAACAGGCTGGTGAAAATGCCTGATAAGGCTTATGTCATAAAAAAATCATATTCTAGAAAAGAAATAAAGATATTTCTTTTAAACTTAGGGGTGTCCGTGGCCATGTGGTTAAGGTCGTTGACTTCAAACCTCTTGCCCCTCACCTCTGTGGGTTCGAATCCCAACAGGAACTTTGGATTCTTTCATGTGAGGAAGCTATCCAGCTAGCTTATGGAACGTCGGTGGTTCTACTCAGGTGCCCGTTTGTGCCTGAAATAATGCATGGAAGGTCACCTGAGGTCTTCCTCCACCAGTAAAGCTGGAACATTGCAGTATGACCTATAATGTGTCGGTGTGACGTAAAACCCAAAACAAAACAAAAAACATCTTTTAAACTTTGTTTGTTTATTAATAATATGTAAAACATTTTAGTTTACACAAAGTTTACCATTATTTTCCGCTGTCAATCGACAGAATATAGTATTTCAATATGAGATACAGGTTTAATATGTAAAAGTTCTGGTGATTTATATATGTATATGTATAATCACAATGAAAAAAAACATTCAAAGATTGCAGATAGGTAGCAAATGAGAATATTATCAAAAGAGCAATTATACTCATCATTAGATACATGCATACTGCAGGCAAAAGATTAATTTTCAATCATACCTTATTTCAGATGAAACAAAGTTTGGACATAAATTAATGGAGAAGATGGGTTGGTCTAAAGGTAAAGGACTTGGGGTTAAAGAAGATGGTAAAACTGAAAATATCTCTGTCACACTGAAGAATGATACAAGAGGTAAACGTTTTATGTGTATACCATTCTTAAATTATAATTTATAGTTTTGTAATATTGATTTATATTAGTGCTTGGACAGTGTGGTTCTTTGTCAATGATATGACCAAGTCTGTAGAAAATCTTTCATTTTCTATCTGCCTGACAACTAACTAACTCTATTGAAGATACTGCTTTTTTGTTTGGCTTAACTTATTGTAGAATAATGTGGCTATTAAGGGTGTAACGGTTTACCGGTATACCGATATATTGCAATATGAAAAAATAAATTTCGAACCGCGGTACGATTTTTGGAAAACCGGTATTTTATAAAAATCATAATTTTCAATTAATTGCCTTCTAATTTTGTACAAATTTCACATAAAATCTTTAATTGGCAAATTTTGTTGGCGCCAACCGTAAGATAAAAGTATCCGACAACTAGTACACTTAAAAGTCAATAAGCGGCCGCATAATTTACATAAGCGGCCCAGATGTGAAAGGTCACACGCGACTAGTTTTGTCTATCAAATTGTGTGACACTACTTTCTTTTTATTCCTTACATTTCTACTTTAATTTCTACTAAAAATATATACATATAATAATATTAATAATAATATATAAATGTTACTCCATCTTTACATCAAAACATATACACGACAATACGTATTGCAATATATTGCAATACGCTTCAGCAAAATGGCAATATATTGCAATACGGTTTTTGCTGTATTGTTACACCCCTAGTGGCTATCCTTTTGTTCTAGATGTAAGTTCTGTGTTAAGGTTTTGTATGCTTACCTGGCTACATCTCCTTCAATTATACCACTGTATCCATTGACTTGAAACTCAGTGTACACTTGTCTTTGGGATCATGTTTTTCAGTCAAGAGTCTGTCTGCTTGGATAGGGAGAACATCAAATTAGCTATCGAGGGGTTTCTGGTTCCATCCTCAGTTGAGGTAAAATTGTACGTGACAGTTGATCTCGAACATTGAGTCTAATGACCATTTGTCTCTCATCACTAATTAAGAAAATCATGTGGGATGAGTTGTCGGTTACTTGCAGAGAAATTGTTAATTCCTGGTTAGTTATCCAGGAAGCTAGTTAGGTGGAATGAGCACAGAGATATGACAAAAAAATTGATAATTGAATTTACAGCTCGATTTTTGTTTGCATATATTTCTCTAAAAAGAAAAGAATATAGTCAAAATTGGTTGCCTTTTTGGACTTTTCCCCTTGTAAAAATAGAAAAAATATGTAACACAATTGCTTTAAAATTTCAGGTGTTGGCTGTACAAAGAGTCATGTTGACAACTGGATAGCTCACCAAGATGACTTCAATGCTTTGCTTGCTAATCTTGGACAGGATCATAATACAGGGCCTGGGGGTTCACAGGAGGAAATAGACAGAAAGGTCCTCAGTCTAGAGCAGACATCTAGGTCATCCAAAGGCAGAGTGCAGTAAGATATTTTTTTGTTTGTTTGCAATTTGATTGCCAGCTGAGCTCCAACAATGTTATGTGTGCCATATTGTATTGAACTATACAATTTTACATTTAGGAAGGAAACTCCAAAGATGCACATTATGCCAATCCAAGTGTATGGTGGGTGTACAAGTTGAAGTTAGAATATATTTAGATTTTGCCATAACTGGTTAAAATTTTATAGTGTAGTGCATGTATATAATCAATAGCCTACTGAATATTCTATAAATATCTTCCGGAATGTATTATTAAAGTTCATTTGATAAAATGCGTGGGGGCAGTCTTCTTGTATTTAAGGCAGTTGTTATAATTTATGCTTAGCATTTTTCATTATCCATTTTAGGTCGTTTTCCATTTTAATAGGTAATCTTTTTAAATGTAAAGCCAATTATTATTAAAAAGCTTGAAACAATGAAAACAAGCATTTGATAGTATTGCGGGCAATACAGTAGTCCCCTACAGGTCCCTCAAAAAGTTCTTTAATTGTCATACACTCCTGTGTATTGCCATTTATAATGAATTTGAGGATGAAGTCTGTATTTGAAAATATCGACCACAAAACATAATAAAATAAGTTTGTCTATATCACAGTAATGTGTTAAGTTTCCATGCTTAGTAAGGAAATTATGTTTATACAACCTTGTCATATTATTACGATGTGGGATTTTAAAGTAAATCCTATAAGGAATGAAGAAGTTGGAGTGAAAATACCAGTTTCTCGAAAAAAATCTAAGTTCAAGGGGGACATAATTCTGGAAATAGTCTTGCTAGAGTATTTAACCTTCTCAAAAATGTCGAGTGATAATAAGAAACATATATATGAAGTTTGAAGTAGATACATTAGGAAATAAAGAAGTTATTTAAAAAAGACAACATTTTTCCCCCTAAAAAATCTAAGTTCAAGGGAGGCAATACTGATATTTTTGTGCTAGAGTTATAAACCTTGTCACATATGATGTGGTTGATGACCAGAAACTTATATTTAAAGTTTGAAGTAAACACCTTAAGAAATAAAGAACATATAGTGAAAAAGCTGAAAAATTTAAATCAGAAATCTTGAAATTCAGGCTATTTGTTGCCATAGCAACCAGAATTTTCAACATAGGAAGAAAAGAAAAAGATGTGCATAATCTCCAGACTGCCATCTACCCATATTTCAAGTTTCATAAAAATATTTTCAGTACTTTTTGAGTTATCACTGGATCCAGTTTATGTGTTAAATTTGCCATATTTTCAGACTATTTGTTGCCATAGCAACCAGAATTTTCAACATAGGAAGAAAAAAAAAAAGACGTGCATAATCTCCATACTGCCATCTATCCATATATCAAGTTTCATAAAAATATTTTCAGTACTTTTTGCGTTATCGCGGGATCCAGTTTTGTGGACGGACGGACTGACAGACAGACAGACGGACGGAGGGTAAACCTAAAGTCCCCTCCGGTTAAACCGGTAGGGGACTAATAATGTCACTTTAAATTGCTTGATTACAGACAAAAAGAGAAGCCTCTATTTTATTACGTAGCTTGATTCATGACTGATGGAAGTAAATCACAGTGATTAGGACATGTAGTAGGTAATTCAATGTCTGGGACCTTAAACCTGTTCACCATATTCTTATAATATGAACAGCTAAAAAAAGGCATGTCTCTTTGCCAAAGTACTGGCTCCAACTTTGTAGTCATAAGTGTATTTTTTTATTTGGCGAAGTTCAGTAGAGCAAACTAAAATAATTGGCACTGGAGGGACTCTGTCAGGGGTGCTACAGTCAAACCTGATACACATGTATATTTCAATGACCTGTCAATGGCTTTGAATTAATTTACTGTATTTAATTTATGTTTTGTAAACCACCCTTTAGTTAAGGATTTGTTTAGTAAACGCATCTGTTGTTTTTCTAGCTATCAGAAGTTCACTAAAGGAAAAGATTTGTCTTTGAAGTCAGAGACTGACTTAGATTGTGTTTTTGGAAAAAGGAAAAACCAGTCGGGAACCAGTACTCCACAAGCTCAATCAGGAGGCTAATACACCACAGGTCCAGTCTGAAGTAAGTTTTAATTTAAAGCAGCATGCTTCCAGATTCATGATATTTTTTATGACAATTTTAAAACTGTATTTGAAAGTAAAATATGGTGAAGTGAACAAAGAGTGTAATTTACATATTGCAAATGACCATTAAAAATTGAACGCTACCAATACATATTGAACAATATCTATAAAAATTACAGTGGATCATGTGGATTATTGATGATTCTTGCATGTCAGACAGGATTATCTACCCTTTTCACCGGTGCTAGAAAACCCTGTCTTACACCCCCATCTTACACCCCCATGTAAGACAAGTTGTGTGCTTTAAATGACATCAATGCCACGTGCCTTTTATTAATGAATTGAGTTCTTAGGATGATGTCATTTTACCATTATGAATGAAGTTGTGAATTCATACGCTACAGTAAGAAAAAAGTGCGTAATGAGAATATCAGTTTTCTGAAAATAATTGATATAATATGCAAGAAAAAGAATGAAACACCGGCTGTCAGTACATACGGGAATATCTAGCTCTCGGGTAACTGTTTAGTGGAAACTCGGCAGAGCCTCTTTACCACTGTAAACAGTAACCCTCGAGCTAGATATTCCGGTCTGTACCGGCAGCCAGTGTAAGATTCTTATATTATAGCATAGTAAAATTATAAAATTGAACACAATTATGGCAAAACTTGAAAGTTTTTTCAATTTTTATCTTTGCCCACACCATTTTTTCATTTGATGGGCATAATGTCACTGTAAATAAGTAATTTTATCTTGTGTATTCACATTTGATGTCGCAATTGATCTGTAAACTTATTTGTGATTTTTTCAGCCAAGTTCAGATAATGAGGAAAAACACACATGGTTGATTACTGTAACAAGTACGCGACAGCGTACAAGACTACTTTAAGAAGAAAATGGCGGAGAAAACTGAATAAACTGAAAGGAATTAAGGGCTGATACTGTACAGTTAGAGGATAGTTGGAACAAATAGGAATAAAGTCGAAGCCAACGAAGAAGATAAAGAATGTCATGAGATACAAAAAAACTAAAAAAGAAGTCCAAGAAAAGGAAACTTTAACTCTGATGACACTGTTTGATCAGGCTGAAGAAACATTGAATGACATAGGAGATGATAGTGAAATAAACAAGAAGTTAAGCAAAGGAAAAAGTCAAAAAAGAAAAGGAAAAATGAGAAAGAATGTAAAAATGACAATGAGGCTGAAGATGATGAGGTTAATCAGCATACATGTAAAGGAAGATAATGATAATGTAGATATATCAGTAAAGAAAAAGTCAAAAAAAGAAAAGAGGAAATTTAGAAAGTTACCGATAGTTTAGACACTGGTGATGTAAAAACAGAACAGGTGGAGGGAAAGACTACTAGAATGTGTGGTAAATGAAGAAAGTATTAGTGACATAAAGCCAAAAAAAGAAGAAGAAATAGTAAAAAAAGAAAACAGGATATTTGCAGAAGATGATATGGTTACACCAGCGAAACAGAAAAAGAGGGTATCGTTTAAACTTGCAGAAGATGACAATGAAGATTTGTCCGAGGAAAAATCAGATAAGGTGAATAAACAGAAAAAGAACAAAAAGTCTAAGAAATGACTGTTTCGTTTTAAGGTATTTATAGAAAATAAAGCAAACTTCTTATGACTGTTTGCATTAATATTCAATGTCTGCCTATATTCTTCTGCATGTTAATATGTCATTTAAAATGAAAGAAATAAGGTTTTGAATCTATCATCAGTAATCTAGCCTGAAAGCTTACTTGTATTTAAAGAATATAAAGTCCCTTATTAGGATTTGAACCCATGGCAGCAAAGGTCAAGTGAATCCCATGTAATTGGCCATGACTGATCAGCAACACAAGTTTAAATAGACAATGTTTTATGTTATATTTGGTCAGTGTTTACAAGAAATTAATTTTCAGTTTCTTGATTAAAAAGTTTACTTAAAGTTACATTTAATAAATTTCATAGAAAACTAAATAGCGACCTTTTTTATTAACAAATTGGGTTTTATATTGACTCCAGGTCTTATTTTGGTGTCCAGACAACCAAAATGAGTTTTATTAGCATTAAAATGGGTAACCTCATTGTGGCGAAATGGGAAGTACAATTTCTGTTTGCATGAGAAACTCCGCCTTCGGACCATCCGTACATCAATATTAAATCAACAAACATGACTATAAGTAGCAGTCCTAATTTAACGGTATATTTCCGCATTGTAACAGATGTTTTCATACAAATTTAATCTTTTTACGAGATGATTACTTTTACTGGAACCCAGGTTTAGTGCACCGTGAAGCAGGTTAAAAGTGTGTTTGCACAAGAAAATATCACATTTGCTGTGTTCCGGATTATAAAACTGTGACGTAGCGCATACACGAGCTCATTATTGTCATCATTTGCATGTTAAAATTCGTATACGAACTTTAGTGTTACCGTGGGTTTCCCGTTTAAAATCCTAATTTATGAACAATATTTGATTCATTTAAAACAGGTTATTTGAATGAAAATTATTTTACATTTACTAAATTTCTTAATGTCTCTTGAGCAAAAATTAACATATATTTATATTAATAGATCTACAATTACTTTTTTCTCTTGCCATTTATTTTCATGAAAACCTGCATTATTTTGTTTCAGAGTATCATCATAAGTGAAGAATCTAAACAAGAATCTGTTAAAAAGAAGGAATTAAATAGAAACGATGATGATTCAAATGAAGATATAAAACTTTGTTCAAACAAAGGTAAAACAGCATCTTTGCCACTAAATAATTCTGATAATTCAGTAACAAAATCATGTAAAACTAAAGAAGACAGAGCCAGTGATGTTAGAATTACGTCTGATCTGCGTAAAAATAGTAATAGAAGGGATACTAGAGGACTGATGGCAGTCAGAGAGGTAAAGATGGCTGCTCAAGCATACAGAGGTGCTAATATAAATAATGTGAAAGGCTACTCTGGGATGAGGATCACGCCTGTGGATGTAAAGAGGAAACTGAATAACGTGAAATAATGATTTGGTTGTTATTATATAATACTGTTTGAATACTGGATTACTGCATGTTGGTAACACTGATTTTCATTGGACAGTTGTGATGTTTATATTGCCTGTAGAGAATTTGTAGATGAATAATGAATTTTTATCATAATAGTTAAAAGAAATTTGTTTAATATTATAAATTTGTTATGAAGATTTTAGCAGGTTATATTGTGCTATACAAATACACAGATTACTATCATTTAAACTGGGATATATAAACTCTTTAAATTATTTTTAAAAGTTATAATGTTAATGGGAATAAAGGGTATCTTATCTTTAACTCAATGGCTCATGCCACATAATTACCACCATATGACCCGCTTTCTTTGGAAAAAAACCAAAAAATTTGTTTTTTGTAAAACCATTTATGGTTTCCAACCAGGTCCAGGGCTGTTCGCTTCCCAGCCCCTTATAACAAGAAAAAAAATTGATAGCAAACAGCAAGGATCCTAAATCGGGACTGCACAGATTTGGGAGGCGGGTTTCTGGATCCATGCGGGCCCACAAACCCATTATTTTTGGGTTTTTCTTTGGCGTGGCTTCCATTATTTTTCGGTTACCAAGGGGCTTGTTTCCCAAAAAATGGCAAAGTGTAAAGAACTTTTCCTTCACCTTGTTCATGCTTGAATGGTCACAAACTGTAATCAGATTTGTAATGTTGGTAAGTAAGTAGTGATAATTCAGTGAAAGTTCAGTTTAAAAGGTTTCAATGACATTGTTGGTTTAATCAATTGAAAGAAAAGTATAGATAGGGTTAAGTAAATTAACATTACCCATTTAATGTTATGCTGTTAGATGTGAAATATTTCAGATTTTTTTGTTCTCCACAATATTTTGACCTGGCAACAGTAAGAATTTTGGATCTAAATGCATGCTTTTTTAATGGGGCTCCTATGGGTTTTTTTGACATGAAGGGACTAAAAATATTTTTTCTAGATTTGTGTACCATTTGACGTAGGTAATGACTAATAGCTTTAAAATTTCAGGTCAATCACTTCTTTTAATTGTGCAAATTTCCCAAATAAGAAACGCTCTTGCAACATTTCTAACTTAAATTGCACAATTTGAGGATTGGCTACAAAACTGCAGTAACTTATATGAAATAAAGGATTTAAAAAACATTTTCTTGTGGTAAAACCCACAAAAGTTTAAAAATTATGTTTTGAAATTTTTAATTAAAACTAGCCTTTATTTTTTTTACTATTTTCGATATTTCTTTTTTCTTCAAAAGTGCACCAGTTGTTTTATATAAAATTAAAATTTTTTTTGGTTTTTTAGGTTTTAACTCCCAGTTTTAAATTCTACATTTACAAAATTTTAAACCCAAAATATCTTTTTATCAAAGGGGAAAAAATTGTTATATTTTAGATCTTGCATGGGAATGTGAGCATTCATTTTAAATAGCAAAAATATATATTTCGTTACAAGTTAAAGTACATAATATTAATCTAAACCTTAGTCTTGAACTCAGTAATGAAATATTGTTTAATCAGAAATTTAAATCAACATGCAGGCCAGTAGTTTTCAATATCATTTTGACTGTTGACCAATTAAAGAGTTGATAGTTAGTAATTATTTATGTCATTTCTTATTTTATGTTAGTTGTATGATATTTTTGGTGGAATTTAGTTGTTAAAGAGATAAAAGTAATAATATGTGTCATTAAATTCTGTTTCCCATTCTTTCTTGCTTGATTTTTACCTAACAAAATCGTCTACAGATTTTTTCTAAAGAAACATTCCCAAATTACCTCTTTGCTGAATTTCTTAACTGGATCAGTTGGTTATCAATTTTAGGGAAACCAGGATGAGTTTGCCTATGTTATAGAACTGGCTTGCTTTGTTTTATTCTGGTTACAAAGGTTAATTTATTTCGATTCCATATGCCTCCATAAACCTTTCACTGTGTCGCATAAGGTCACGCACAATTTGATGTGAACTAAGTCGAGGAACCACTTATCAGCGAAGGCATAAGTTTTGTATCCCAAAATTATTTTGATTTGACAGTAAGTTGAGGATAAGTGATAACGCTACTTCCTACCTTTACACGGAGAAGACCTTGGGTGACCCTAATGTATTGCATTTGACTGCCGTCCTTTTATAAGATAGCTGGATGAAAAAAATTAAAGTCACTAGAGGATTCGGACTCCAAAGTATATGTCAACTCGACGATAGTCTTAATGCAATGCTTTCCTGCAAATAATTTCTAGCATCGGCAAATATCATAATAAATCGGTTACTTCCGAAGCTTTATTTTTCAAATTCTTGGGCATTAGATTATTTACAATCACTCATCCTGTATCGCTATGTTCTATATTCAATTTAAAAACTGTTAACGGAAGACTGAGAAAAAATAACGTTCCGGATTTATTACGTTATTGGCAGATGTTTTTTTGGTGGGAAAGCTTGACAGACTACCTTAACTACCCAATGGTTTATATCATTAGGTTGTATGTGATAGGAAGATCCTACAAGGGATGTCGGATTTATTCATGCGAGGAAGGTAAACAACAGAGATAAAATGTTAGTTTTTCTATTCCTTAGCATTTTTTTCGGCTCAGTAAGACCTTGGATTTAGTTTAATCAATTATGTATTTGATTGAGTTTAATCAATTATGTATTTCAATATAACTGGAATATCTATCTCTAGCCGCTAATATGTAGATCACAACCCTTCACCTATTAGTATTCCTCTATGCTTCCGTGCCTTTTGACTCGTTAATTTGACATTATCCTCATCGTTTGAATGGAGCTAAGGACTTTGGATTCTTTAATATGAGAAAAATATTCAGCAAAAGCTTACGGAATATCAGGTTTTGTACTACTCTGGGTACCCTCTAGTACCCGAAATATTTCGCAAAATGGCACCTGAGGTCTTCCTCCACCAGTTACAATGTGACCTCAAACCAAACCCACAAAAAATCATAGCTAACGAAAGGTCAGTTGTTCAAAAAAGGTGTCACGTTGTGTACATGAGACTGCAGGGAGGAACACAGGAGGATTCAGATACAATAAGCCATATTATTTCTTTATCAATCGCCCAACACCGCTTTGGACAAGACCTTCAAGTAGACCTGACTAAACTTGACCTTCACTCATAAAACACCTTGTTCTTAAGGTCAAGTTTTTCAATTTTGTTTGGTTTTTGCTATTCTAAATTTAGAATCATTTAGTTTTATTCAGGCCTATTGGTATAATTTCTCCGTGGTCGAGAGGCAACGCGCTTGTTTAGGGTGTGAGAGGTCCAGTCGAGGCAACGCGCTCGTTTAGGGCGTGAGAGGTCCAGTCGAGGCAACGCGCTCGTTTAGGGCGTGAGAGGTCCAGTCGAGGCAACGCGGCTCGTTTTGGGCGTAGAGGTCCAGTCGAGGCCAACTATTTTACTTTTCTAATTTCTTAAGTGTCTTTTTAAAA